TTCTTTCCGCCTGTCACTACAATACTCTGTTAAGTGAAGCATAACAAATTTTCCAAATATTTACCGAAAACCACAAAAGTTTGCTGGTCCGGCGAACACATTTAAGCCACAACAATAACAAAAATGTCGCGCAAACCAACACATTTGACGTTGACAGATTATTTCCGTTATCTTTGTTGCAACTCTGTTGCACGAATCCTCTTTCATTCTTATTTGCGTTTCACTTGCCATGTTTGCTTGAAGTTTGAACCACAATGTGAGTGCATGGGAATGTGAAATCGCCAGCGGCCGTTGCTTTGGAAAGTGACAGCGCGGAAAATATTTTGCATAAACTAATCTTATATCTGAATAAATAAAATTGAAAGTGGCTTCACATAAAAATATTTCGTTTTTCAGCTTGAGCTGGGTTGAGACACTTTTTGGGGAGAAGATGAAGCGATTATTTCGGACTTATGAAGGCGAGGGATATTTTTAAAGATTTTCAGCTATGGAATGCTCTAAGAAAAAGAAATAGGAAGAGAGAGAGATAAGTATTTAACATATCGTTGGGTATAATAAAGGTCCATGAGGCAACCAAATAAATTTACCTAATTTTGCTGACTTCAAATCGTGCTCTTTCCAATGCAATGACGTTCACGCGAGTAAAATGAACTCAACTGTCGTTGTTTTAAATTATTACTCAATTGGGAAAGCACGGAGCGAAGTAAATACTGCATAGTTTAAGAAAGGTTGGTGCGCCTGAGGCTGGTTCTCGGTAATCTGATTGAACTAAACTCCGTATTACAGTCTGAAAGACAGTTTCGGTCCTCATAAGCGGCAGGAAGAGCAGAAGGGGTAAAGATGTTAGGTACAGAGTAACTTCTGGAATATTTTTCACATACAAAGATTAATATCAAGGAAATTTAGTGCGACCGAGTTCCATGGGTACAAAGTCGAACAAGTATAAGGAAAACGAATAATAATAATTGGACTCAATGTCTCTTAATAGTTTGAAGCGGCTGGCAAAATAGAAGAGATTAAGATGTGGGGTACAGAGACTCTTCTGAAATGGTCTTCACATATGATGGGAAATTCAATACGACCGGGTTGGGACCAAGTCAAGCAAATATCCGTATCAGGGTCAGGAAACGTAAGAATGACTTAAACTTCCGATCTTCAATTCTTCTAGCACTCTTCTTATTCGACTCGGAGTATACCTTTCATTCACTTTATCTACCTTTTCGATCAGCCAAACAACCTATGATCAAATTTGACCCGGACAGTGAAAAACAATTTGCACATATTCTTTGGTTTCGAAACCAGAAAAAAGTCACAGGAGCCAAATTTGGCGAATACGGTGTCTGAGCGATAACGCTCATCTCGTGTTTGGCCAAAAGTCAGTCACAATCATGTTAGAATCTGATGGCGTATTATCTTGTTAAAAATTCTATGAAGTTTTTGCCCATAAATCCGGTTGTTAATGTCGAAGTGCTTCATGTCTCAAAATGACCAAGTTGTATTGCTTATTGACCACTTCATTCAGTGGAATGAATTTATGTTGAACTACACCACGGCAATTTAAGAAAATGATAACCTTTATTCACCTGGATTTTTGACTGACTTGGTAGTTTTTTTTTGGTGTTGGGTTGCATTTGGAAGATTATTGCACAATTTAGATGTGATATTTATTAACCCACATCTCGTCAAAGGTAATGATGCGTTTAGTGAATGTAAGGCTCTCATCTCTGTGGCGACCTCTATCAGCATCTGGTTTTTTCACGAGTTTAGCAACCACACATTTCATACCTAAAACATTAACCAAAATGTCTTGAGTTAATCATGAGAGATGTTGAGGTCCTCTGCTACCACTCTGCTGCCGATACGACGATTTTCAAGCAGAGCATCTTTAACCTTTTCGCTTCGGTTTAAATAGTCTAGTTCGAGTTAAATTTGATCATATAAATAGTATAAGAGGTTCTAACACCTATCAGTAGTTTATCCTTAGCAAAAACTTCAGTACATGAACATATATTTTCTTCTGCAGGGAGGCTTACTATTTCAAGCAGGAGCCACAGCTCATCTGAGTAAGGAAGTCATTACAACTATTCATGATAAAATCATTCAAACTCCAAACTCACAAATTCCGTACCCTTTACTAAAGACCAATAAATTCATTTAATCAAAAGCTTCAATTTGATTAAATGAATTTTCATGAACATAAGACATAAGTGGAAGGTCATTGCTAATATTTGTAATGCGATTATAGGCTCTCATAAAGTGATTTAACACTTGACATTTTTACAAACCCAAACAAACACCTACAGGCATACAAGTCTATAGTCCATATAGGAGCAAACAGGTTTTTGCAATGAAAAGGAACATTTTGCAAAATTTACATGTGACAAAGAGAGATTACGATGAATGACGAGGAGAAGGTAGAAGGACAAACATAAAAATTGATGCGGGTTATGAAGAAGGAAACATTTTCGGTGATTAACATCCAGCTAGTGACTCACACCAAATTCTAATGATTCGATTAGTAGGCGAATTCAATTGATTTGCTGTAAATATATGTATGTGTGTGTGGGTCGATGTGTAATAGATTTTAATGTGAGAGTGTAAATGCCACTCGGCTGAGTGCCGTTCAGCCTTGTTTGGTGCGATTTGGTTGAATGGTGTGTAAATGGCCGACAACAATCATGGATTAACTACTTGATTTAGCATAATTATTGTACAAGCAATTAAGGAGCAATCAATTAAGACTGTTGGTACACAGTCTAGGCAGTTATGGGCGTTGGGAGGTAGTCAGAATTTGGAAATGAGAGAAAATCAAAAGCAAAGCGTAACTGAAGAATGACTGATTGATGGCTGCTGAAGCGGCAATTTGTCGTAGATTAGCCACTCAGTGGCAATATCATGGGGTCTCCTCAGCATCGCACTTGTAGGTGTTTGAGTGTTGTTCTGACGACTATTGATTAATTAGATAAATATACCCATGGTAATTGAACTTTAACGCAATTCGAAATCAGACAGTGAACTTTGTTATATTAAAAAATATTTCATTTTATGTGCTTCAAATCTCGAGGGGTATATTTTCAGCATGAGCTCAATTCCTTGAAAGTGATTTGGATAAATATAAGGGTTTTGATTTAAGATTTTTGTACCTTAGGCAGTTTTTCATACTTTTTGTAAGATTGGTAGTCTCTTCGGGGAAAAAAATGGAAAGTATTAACATATAATGTCTAATCTTTCTATTTTGATCTTTTTTTTTATATCAGCAAATCATAAACAATAGTTTTATTCAAAGTTCATCCAAAGCCCATTTGAAGCTATACTATTTCTTCTTCTTTCTGACAAAATTTGGACTCCATCACAAAAGAATTTGGCGTATATATAGTTAGGGTAAACTTCTCATCCGTTGTTTTCCTAATAGCTTTTAGACGGTTGATACAACTGTCTAACTTTCTTCGGGTTTAGATTTACTCTCACATACATTTTCTTGATTCATGGAAACTTTCTAGATTCAACTCGAACCAACTCACGAACTGCGTTATTAACTCAATTTTTTTAATCGTAAAGGAAAACTTGACATCATGCTAAGTCCTCTATCTAAACTTTTTCTTAAAAATTTAAGTATGGAGATATTGTAAAATAAGTAGATGTTTAAAGTCCTTTCTATAAAGGTTTCATCGAGGGCGTAGTAGAAAGGCACTTAATCTAAACTTTAAGCAATATAAAAACTGTGCATTATTATTATTAATTGATTTCATGAAATTCTAACCTCAATTTTATTTTGCTCCTTCCTTTGCAGCTAAATGATCTTATAAGCGACAACACCAACTAGTTTAAGCTAAATAGAGAGCAGAGCGTCGAATGAGAGCAAAGTAGTGATTTTTAATTACAAAATTCCTTAACTAAAATTAGTCAATAATAGCGAAAACAAAACTAAAGCAAATAACTCAAATAAAATGCAAGCAATTCAAAAGTGACAAACTTTAGCTAGAGCAATTTACTTAAGAAATTAGTAGTACATAAAGCAAAAACAAGGAAAACAATTAATAATTAAAAGTAAAATATAAATAATTTTAATTTATGTTAACGTAAATAACGCCATTGTGATTCTTAATTATAGC